TCAGTTTGCAGTGTCAGGGGGCCGGGCACACCGTGAAGCTATTTGGATTCTGCGTTGATAAGGCGAGTGCAAACTGTCCCCGCAGCTCTCGAGAGCAGAATCAAACTGAAACTTACCACTCAGAGTAGAAAGCACATAACACCCACAGATACAGACATGCACAAATTGCTGCAATATAGGTTAGAAAAGGAGCCCCGTTCTGCACCTTCTAGTCTCATTAAAAACACACACGCACATACACAGAGAATCTTCTCTGAATGACTATGAGCACCAGTGCGTGTTCCCTCCTAAACACCCAGCTAACCTGTAACGGCTTATTAAAAAGGCAAATTTTCACTTTTCATGTATCCTTGCTCCCTTTCGCACCTGGTTGCAGTTTCTACAACATTTTTAACTCTTGTTTTTTTCATGACTGAGTAAAGTGAGACCTCTCGGGGACGCCACCCAGCCTGGTGAACTGGGTCCCTGCCTGAGGACACGGCCCCAGAGGAAACCAAACCTTCCCCGCGTGCTAAAGAATTTCTGCATGGGGCTTTGAGGCTGAGAAGAAGGGCAGACCCTGTCTGTAAAGATGCGCAGGACCTGTCCTGTAAAACAAAAAGGCCATCTGAAAACATGAGGTAGATTAAGGACAGGGGAAAGCTAATCTTTCCTGTGGTTTGGAGCATGACAGTCCTCACGCAGACCGTTTTGCCATAGGAAAGCTGTAGGGAAGCTGGGAATCAAGACTATAATATCCAAGAAATCCCACAGAGACTGCTGCCCTCCTCTCCCTGCCCCAAAGCTACTCTCCGCTTCGCTCATTTCAGTTAGGATTTACCATGGTAAAACTCAAGTGGTAAAGGCAGGAAGGTTGGGGTCTCCCCAGCCCTAAGCCTGGTATCAGGCTGTGACAGCCCAGTCCTCAGCACGAGTGACCTGGGAGAGAGGTTTCCAGCCTTTGGCTTCACGGTGCCTGCTTTCAACATGGCAGGAACTGCTTCTCTTCCCAGTGCAGTGCAGCCACTTTGGGGCAGGAATGCTGTAAGGAATCTCACTCGGTTCTTGGATAAGGAAATGATCAAGGACTTGCCTATTCACAATTAATGGGGAGAAAAAAAAAAAAAAAAAAGATGGCAGGAACTGCTTCTCTTCCCAGTGCAGTGCAGCCACTTTGGGGCAGGAATGCTGTAAGGAATCTCACTCGGTTCTTGGATAAGGAAATGATCAAGGACTTGCCTATTCACAATTAATGGGGAGAAAAAAAAAAAAAAAAAAGAGCTGAAGGCCCTTATTAATCATTGCACAATAAGGAAGTCATACTGGTTTGGCTCCCTTCAATAGGGCTATTTGGTCACACCTACCTAAGCGGTTTGGCATCCCAACCATCTCCCTGCGTGCGGATGGGGAGGAGGAGGAGGGAAGGGCCACTGTGCCCACATGCCATGGAGGTGCCTGGCCACCAGCTGGTGGGGCAGGGAGAGCTCCAAGTGCCCATCTCCCTTTACCAGAGGGCTGGGCATCTCTCTTCAGAGATCTCTGCCCAACGGTCACCCCAGTGCCACCCCTCCCTGTGCTCTGGGCACAGGTTCCTGCCCCAACCCCTGGCATCAAAAAGTTCATGTGTCCTGTGCAGGAGTTTCCCCCCTGCCTGCCACGGGGGTCCCTGCTGGGGGAGGGTCTTCTCCCAGGGGTGTGTGCCACCACCTAGTGACTGCAGCTCCTTGCCCTGCTGCTGGCCTTCTGCTTGAGGTCCTAGCTTCCCTGAACCCCCAGCTCCAGAAAGCAGTTTGTAGCCAGACGTGATGGCTGGAGGTGCCTCTGAAGTGCCAGGAGACAGATGTTCAGGCGCCAGGCTTTGGCTGTCGCACGGGGCTGCATCACCCTGCCCTGGGAGAGGGTGCCAGGGAGAGCTATGCAGCGAGTGGTAGGACATCAGCATGGGGTGAGACACAGCACTGCAGGAGCCCAGGCTGTGTGCCTTTCCCAGGTGAGCTGGTGCAGGCTGAAGTTTGCAGAGGTGGTGCCTGGAGGTAGAGAGCAGCATTGAATCTTCCCTGCAGCAGATTTTCCTGCACAGAGCTCCATTTGACTGGTGCCAAGCTGCAAGCTGTCACGGTGGAAGTCAAGAGGTTTGGCTTTGGAGCAGAAGGGGATGTTGTGGGTGCCCCTTCCCTGGAAGTGTTTAAGGCCAGGCTGGATGGGGCTTTGAGCAACCTAGTGGGAGGTGTCCCTGCCCACGGCAGGGGGGTTGGAACTAGATGATCTTTAAGGTCCCTTCCAACTCTAACTGTTCTATCATTCTATGTCTGCTTTGCTTGTGTCTCTAAGTAATCAACATGTGGCTCCTCTAGGACAGGACAAGAATACAGCTTTGCATCCCAAGTAGGCACCGAGGCAGGGGGGGCTTGGTGAGGATTAGTGGCTCCTCTTCCCTTTGGTCACCACTGTGAATCTCTGGGAAATCTTCCCCAACCTCTTTTGAAACTGAGCAGAAGTGTGGTCACACGGCTTGGTGGAACCTCTCGGTGCGAAAGTGGCCTCGATGGGGGTGCAAATGTGGTATTTGCTGGCACTTCCACGTGCTGCTGGTGAGAAGGAGACTGGCAGCAGCCGTGCTGGGTTGCAGGATGGCCCGTTTTCAGCATCTGATGAAAAATTAAACCCCCGTGTTTTGGGGAAGTGTCGCAACTTTGGCAAAAAGGTCACGTTTTTTCCCGCTGTTCAGGCAGGAACTGGTTAGTGGTGAAGTTGCCAAAATTTCCATCTGTGCCCCCGCCATGTCCCAGCCCAGGCAGCTGCCTTTTCCCTGCCAGCCCACCCTGACCCTCCGTCTCGATGCCGGGATGGCTACCTCAGTGCCATCGCTGAGTTTTTCCTTAAGCCACCATGGTATTAGGAAAAATTTCTTCACAGAAAGGGTTGTGAAGCACCGGCACAGGCTGCCCAGGGAAGCGGGTGAATCACCATCCCTGGAGGGAGGTATTTAAAGGACGGGTAGAGGTGGTGCTGAGGGACGTGGTTTAGTGGTGGTTTGGACAGTGTTCGGTTGATGGTTGGACTCGATCTTAAAGGTCCCTTCCAACCCGGAGGATTCTCTGATGCTGTGACGGTTTGTGTTTTGCAGATACCTGCCCGGTGACAGGCGCATTCCTCGGCCCCACCGCATCCACTCAGCCCTGGCTCACGCAATAATTAGCCAAGTGTTTCCTGGCTGCCTTTAATTACAGCCACAACTATTTCCCTGGCTCTAAAGTAACGCCTCTGAACGACAGCAAAGGTTTTGGGCTGGATCCCGCGCGCAGCCCGGTCCCAGCACGTGTTGGGGCGCAGCTGTGCACCGGCAGCCGCTGATTGGAACCCGAAGGGCTCATACCCCCTCGGTGAGTCATTTTTTTTTTGCAGTTTTTGACCTCAAGGTTGTAATTGCCCACACTGGGAATTAGCGGTGTCTCCCCCAGCACCCCGCTGAGAGACACTGGGCTCTACAGACCAGCCAGAAGGGCAGGATCCCCCTTAAATCTGTGTTTGAGTCCATTTTAGCTGTAATTCGCCCCATCCCTTGGCGAAGCCATGGAAGGAAAGGGCACACCACCTTCCAGGCCCCATCACTCTTGGTCCCTCCAATGTTTTCACGCAGAGGGCAGCACGTGGGGCACTGAGCCCACCTCCCCGCAGGCCACCCGTGGCTGTGTGCTGGGGGCACACGGCCTCGCAGGGCTGCGTTTAATGGCAGCACCCAAAACGACGAGCTTTCTCCCCAGCCCTGCCCCGTGCTAAGGCTGAGCTGGCCTTGGGGTGGTGGCATTGCCATGGCTGGAACCCCCTTGGCGGCTTCCAGCCGGCGCGGGGGCTGCCAGAGACCAAGGCAGCAGCTGCCGGGCTCGGCCTCGCGGGGCTGTGATCTATAACGTGCATTGTCTTTTTATGTAATGTGTTTTATTAAACATCTTCTAAAGCTTACAAGTGTCCCCAGGACATAACTCTCCAGCGCAACGTAACGCTTTGCCAAGTAATGAAGTATGATTTATGGCGGCAACGGTTATCCTACGTTTTTTTTTAAAAAATTATTACAGCAATAGCTCTGTCGACTATAGGAATATAACATGCTGCATTTGGCACGTTTATGACAACAGTGCTCTGGTTTTCTTAACTCCACAGTTCGGTGCTGGCAGTATTTCAAATTCTTGAGACAGATGTTTAAATGAATTTTTTAAGAGGACAGTGAAATACTTTTAAAACATCATACGGCGCTGAGTGTCTCAATATGAGCAGGAACGTTATTTCTCTAACGTTCAGGTAGGGCAGGGCAGCACATGGCCTCTCTGGTTTAGATCTCACGCTAAATGATGGAAGTAGCAAATGTGGAATTAGCTTTTTCTGGGGCATCCTGGCCGGCTGTTAGGTTTTTGGCCGAGGAGGTGGTGAGGGGCAGCGGACGCTTGGACCTTCTCCCGGCTTGGGTTCGTGTTCGCGTCTGGGCTGCGAGCAGCGAGAACAGATCCACGTTTGTTTTGAAGGCAGTTCCCACCACGCTGATAGAGGACTAAGTGGTCTCACGCTGACATGTTGAGTGTGTCATTGTGGTCCCAGTGGTTAGGGTTTCAGGCCAGAAATGACAATCGTTTGGAAATATGTAAATGAGAAGCCTGGTCACATATCTGCGAGGCAGATACCATTTGAGCAGTTCCATTGAAACGCTGAAAATTCTTGGGTTATTAAAAAAAAAATATATTTTTTTTTTTTTAGGTATTGGCTAAAAGCGAAGAGAGCGCCATAATTAACAAATTAACAAAGCTGGGGTAATGCTCAATCATGGAAAATCAGAGCCCACACGGCAGGAGCCATCCTCTGCCTCGGCGGCTGGGAGGGGAAGGACGCGGTCAGCGCAGAGAGATTGAAGACAAGGGAAGCCTCGGTAAAGCAATGAACACTTATATTTAATTTACATTTGACAATTTGCACATAAATAATGATGTAAACCAATACGTAAACATATGATAGTTTGTTGTTCTAGCAAAGTAAAAAGCCTGTTAACTTTGGTCAGAGTCTTTCTCAAGAGAGACAAAAAAAAAACCCCCACCCCAAAACACTGTTGATTGTTGCTACATTCACATGTAAAACTTCTAAGGGAAGGGGGAAACAGTAAAGAGAAGTAACAATTCTTAAAGCTGATGCATATAAATTCTTGTAAAATTTGTATCAAATACAAGAAAGCACTACAGGCAAATAACAGGAAAAGTGTGTGTCCAGTGACAGAGTAGTGATACTTTGGTTTATCCTACAAGTAAGTACTATATTTATGAACTATTGCTACATTTAAAAGATGTCAGCCTCACGATTTGCAGGAGTGGAAATGTAATGAACTGTAGTCCTTCAAAAACTGTGTTGAGAGACTTGTATTTCAGGATTGTTTTGGTTTTTAACAGAAGGCATTCAAATGAAGTTTGCTGAGAGAGAAGGTCACCGAATCCCCGATTGCAGAAGTGGGCTAAGTTAAAACTGGTAAGGATCTAACCAGACAAAAAGATACACATGGAGGGGAGGTGTGTTAATAATGCTACTTATATTTATGCGCGTTGACCATGCAACTCGTTAAGGGCAGGGCGAAACGAGCCGAGGGGCTCGTCCCAACTACCTTCCACCCCGCCCGTCGCCGTGTTGTGCGAACACACTGGTCATATTTGGCTTCTTTTCAAGTTCTTTCAGTTACATTTTTCTGGCTGCTCGTTCACTGACCGCCCGCCTCCTCCCTGCCCTGGTACCGCTGCCGGGAGCAGGGAGCGGGGGAGCCCTGACCCCCCCGTCCTGCAAAAAGGGTGATTCCCACCCAATTTGCCTGGATGCCACCATGGGTGGGTGACGTTACCCACGTCAGGTGTCACCCGGGCAGCCTGTGCCCACCGGCCACCGACAAACGCCTCGGTGCAACCTTCTGGGTTTGAGGTCAGTGGTAACATGTAGAACTGGATAACATTTGCTTTTCACACTTAGATGAAAAATAGGTTTTATTACATGGTTTGGCTCACAACTTAAGTGGTATAAATATATATACATATACATATATAGTATAGTGGTATAAATATATCTATAAATATACATGTATTCTTTGCTACACCTCAAACGTCACCATATCATCTTTGGGCTTAGCAAAACAAAAAGATAAAAGGACGTGCATTCTATCTTTCCCTGTGCACATTTTGGTTTCTTCTCTAAAGTAGCAAAGCATTTAGATAAAACAGCATTGTCTGCACCACTGGACACAAGCACTGAGGTAATTGTTGTTCAACAACTTTGCAATGCCCTTTTTTTTCTTTAATTAAATTAACCACAAAATGTACAAACACAAATACTGAGAAAAAATCTGAGTCGTACAGGAAGGAAGGAAAAAAAAAAAATGTATGTGCCAGGAAAGGACTTTGTTCCCCACCTCTACCCAGGCAAAGTGGGAGAGGAAAATACAAGTAAAACCGAACCCCCTCTTTCTCAGGGAATCTGACCATTTATTTTTTTTTTTTATCCCTGGAAGGCTCTGGCCATGGAAAAAGAAAAAACAAAAAGAAGAGAGAAGAAAGAGGTCTGCCAAAAATCCCCTTTCAGGCAGAATATTAAGAATATTTGTGTGTTTGCTTTTAAACTGCTTTTTGGAAATACAAGAAGGTAAATGAGATTTTTCTTTTGGAAGAGCCCCTTTGAGCTGATGCATTCCTTTGGTCATGGAGATAGGTGACAATCTGTGGGGCTACAGCCCTTTCCTAAAGGCCTGTCCGTGGCAGGTGGGTGCTCTGTGCCCCCTCTGTGCCGGGCAGCGCCGCAGGCAGAAGAATCTCTCTCCCGTCCTCAGCGAGGCAGGGGCAGCAGTTTCTTCCCCTGCTTCCTGCTACTCTGGGTTTGGTTTATTTTTTCAATTCCCAGTGGGGTGATTTGCACATAAAAGTACACAGCGTGATTTTTTTTTTTTTTTTTTTCAAACCAACGGACCTAGGATTCTGTGTGTCAAATGTCCAACTTTGGCAATACGAAAAACCACATTTGTTTAAAAGACATTGGTACATAAAACACATTTACTGAAACCCCCATCTTAGGTTCTTAAAACAGATGTGCAGAAAAAAATATCTACAAAGAATGGCCATAAAACAAAAAATAAAAACATTTAAAGTAAAAATTACAATGAATTTTCCAGTCATTGTAAACATTTTCCTAATTATTGCTTTTAGAATGATTAATTGCATAATAAATTATGAAGTACTATCATTGAAAAAATAATTATGGATAGATGATTGTCTTTTAGTAACTGGCGAGGCAACGCACAGTCCTTTGCCCCTTTTTATGCCCTGAGAAAACAGTAACTTTGGAGTTCCTTCTTTCAGCTGGAGAGCGTAGGGAAACTACTGTAAGCCAAGATTGCTTTGCAGCATTGAAACTATGTACAAGCAACTGCTACAGGCACCCTGACTTGCCAAGTCATAAATTAAAAAAAAAAAAAAAATTCACTTTGCCAAAAAGTCTTAAGGGTCCATTGGTTCAACTGTTTCTTGCTTGACCTTTACAGGTAACAGAGGTAGTGGGTGACTGTGAGGCAACTTCATAATTGACATATCTGACGACTCGTAAAGGTTGCATCCTGAGGAGATAAGTCCGTTTCCCAGGTTCCTCTGCAGAGATGCTTTCAGATTAGCTCCTTCCATTTCCCTCCTGAGCATGGTCAGTATATCCTTCTCCACGATGGATGTCAAGTCGATATTGTCCTCCACTTCTTCCAACTTGTCGGCATTGTCACTGATGTCGAACTTCTCGATCTCCTCGTTGATTCGATTCAGCTCCTCCATGGAGAGGCCGGAGGCGGGGGCCACGGGGCAGTTGCCCTTCAGGTGGACCTGGAGGCTGCAGAGGTGAATGTAGCTCTTGTGGCAGTGGATGCATTTATGGGGACGTTCCCGGGTGTGGAGACGCTTGTGCAGCTTCAGGTGCACAAACTGGGTGAATTTGGCGGGGCAGAGCTTGCACTGGTAAGGCTTCTCTCCAGAGTGGAGCCGCAGGTGGGTTTTGAGATTGCTGGTGCTGCTGAACCGCTTGTGACAAACCTAATGAGGGGGGTGGCAGAGAAACAGTGAATGAGTGGGAGGGGATTTTATGGTTTAAATCACAGACACCTAGGAGGAGACGGCAGGATGAAGCAGCAGCTTTTTATATCTTCACACTTTCTCATAAAGGGGGGAAAAAATCCCCACCTTTTTTATTTAAATATCACCGAGCAGCATTTCGAGTATGGTGGGTGACAGCGCCGTGTGGGGCAGATGCTGCTGTAGGAGGCTAGAGACAACCCCGTGTCCCACGGACACTGCTGGAAAGGCCTGTGATACACACCCCAGTCCCCAGCAGCCAGGGCTTTGCTGCACAGCCCCACTGTGCACCAGCCCCTCCCGGGGCACCGGGAGTGTCTCTCTGTGGTGTGTTACGTACCTGACACTCGTGGGGTTTTTCTCCCGTGTGTACCAGATAGTGCTTCTGGAGGTGAGCCAGCTGCGTGAAGCCTTTATTGCAAGTCTGGCATTTAAAGGGTCTCTCCCCGCTGTGAACTCGGAGGTGCACCTAGGGAGAAGCAAAAGCAATTAACAATTTGCAGTTTCCAGGGCTGTAACAAAAGTACTTTCAGATGTTTCCTCAAGTTAGCAGAAGACTCCCATTGCCAAAATACAATGTTATCTAGTTAATTAGGTGGCGTCTTTACAACCATGCTTTCTAGCTGGGGGGGATGCCGTATTAATCCCAGACTGATAATGGCCTAACAAGGAAAGGAGGACCGTCCCTACTTTTCCTAGATAACCTACAGGGAGAAACCATGAGCCTTCCAAGAAGGCCTGTGTCTTACTCTCCACTGCCTACCTTCAGATTGGAGAGCTGGCCAAAGGTCTTGGAGCAAACGTTGCATTCATACTTGATCTTCCCGTTCTGCTTCTTCAGTGGGTATGGGAGGGTTTTGTAACCGGTCACATTCCTCTTACTTTTAATGAGATTCATGGCTTCTTCACCGCCGGTGGCAGCCAACACCACTGAGGTAGGTTTAGGTTGCATTATGTGTTCCGAACTGGCTGCTGTGCCAGCTGTGGGGGACCCGCTGGTGGGGCTGCACGGCTTGTCCTTCATGCTGGCAGCAGCGCCCGTGATAGAGAAGGCACTGTTGGGTGCTGGTATGAGGAAGTCTCTGGGATGGTCAGGCTGCAGCAATCGACGGCCTCCTTCGCTGGGCAATGAACTGGGGAGCGTGGTGGGGTTCAGCATGTGGTGGGAAAGGCTACCTCCGCTGAGCAGGTTGCCGTAAAGAGGATACATCCTTGGGAAGAGATTGAAATTGTTGATGCCATTGATATTGTTCAAAGCGCTCAGGTTATTACAGCCCATATTGAACGGAGGTAACAGGAATTTGGGGTAGTGGGGGTTATAGGACGGTATAAAGGCAGGTGGGAGGTGGCCAGGGGGTGCGTATCCAGGATAAGACCCCAATCCTTCCGAGCCATACGATCCGTTCAAGTAAGAGTACGGCTCTCTGTGCTCTTGGGAAGTAGGTGCCAGAGGCGAAACCGTGACCCCCGGACTGCTGTGAGGGCTTGAACTTTTCAAGCTTTGGTCTGGGCTGCTCCTCCCTGAAGGACTCGGTGTAGTTGATGTCTGGATGGGCGAGTGGGTAATGTAGCTGGGTCTGTCCATCCCATACGCTAAGGAAGCTTTCAGATAGTCTTCTGTAATGTGAGGTCGGATTGGGTAGACAACTCGAGGGAAGAAACACCTCTCCGGACTATAGTTCTTACGCAAATCATCCAAGTCTTTTTCTGGAGTAACTGGTGAAATGTTGGTCTGGAAAAAGTCTTTTCCTTTCGGAGGATTGGATTCCATTTTCAGGATTTCTTTCACACTGTGCTCCTTCTTTGGGATGCTTTTCTGACAAAGCTCATCTTTATCAGCACTGTGCTGCTTTGGATTAACGTGGGTTTGTGCTGAAATACAAAGACAAGGTAATGATTATTTAGATATGTCACCATCATTATCTCTTTTCAAAACACAATCTAACACCTACAAGTTTAGTGGGAAGGAAGGGCCACTCTAGGAGATGAGGAATCATTTAACTCACCAAAAACCTGATTTCTGTGTGAAGAAATGTCCTGCTGGTATTAAGGGTTAATAAAAAGCATTGTTAATTTAAGGGATACCAGCCTGTACATACAGATCTGGATGATGATTCATTTGCAGAGTGCTAGTCTCCACTTTGCAAACTGATTTCACCTTTCTTTCCCCTTAAATTTGACTAGCTTTGCTGTTGAATGTCTATTTAAGCAGTATTTCTAATAAATGTGGTAACAAGCGTTTGTTCACAATACAGGTTTAACAGAAGGACTTTGCAGAAGGCAAGCTCCCAGAAATGTTCCTCAGTAAAATAACAAGGCATGACAAATCGGCTTTTGCCAAACCGCAGCAGTCACTTCACCAGCCAGTTCAATTACTTACAGTACCAAAAAACCCATGGCTGGCTGGGATGAAAGCCTTCTTCAAAGAGAAGGTATTCTCCATCAGTAAACAGATCATTACTCATTAAATATACTGCTTAGGAACATCTACAACAAAGCAGACTATTTACTGCAGATTTCTGTGGCATTCAGTCTATGCAAAACTCCTCTGCTTACAGCTGTACTTTATAAAAAAAAATGCTGAAGCAAAGCAAAAGAAAGCAAGACTGGTTGGCTCCAGCTTAAGTTGAAATGTACTTTAACCAAAAAAAAAAAAGCAAAAGAAGTATGCATTTAGAAGGAAATAGAAACTAGCAACCATTTGATCAGTTCAGCACATACACTGCTTAATTGTATTCAAAGACTCTACCTTGTTTATCTTGACATAACAATGATATGAACAGGACACTGAAAGATGCCTTCACTAGAAAAAGAAGTCTGCTTTTATCTAACCTCCCAGAGTTAATAGTTATATAATCTTGAAATGATGACTTGTAATATATTTTATTATAGGGGGAAAAACTACAAGAAGGTTTCATATTCATGGTTAGTTATGCGCAAGATTTTCCATCAGAGACACAAGTCAACGCCGACAGGTTATGTCACTCGAAAGTATCATAGCCCTTTAGCCAAATTTCTACTTTTGTGACTGACTGTTCTTATTTCACTAACTGGGCTGAAAAACAGTTATTTCTGATTTTTGGGGGACCGGCTGAACCCAGTGAGGAAGATGGGAAGAGGCAACGACCACGCCACTTTCAATGTGGATTCTTTGCTTCACTATCTACTGCTCTGATGGAACCTGTCGTTTGGCAACATTACCCTATAAGGCAACAGAACAGCCATTTATTAAATGTATCCAAGAAAACAGCTGTTTTTGAAGCATGCTCCTACTCACAGCTACTCAGTTTCACAGCAGCATCCTTTTTCAAATGGCATTAAGACTAGTAGCAAGCAGATTTAGTTTGTTTTAAAGTTGCAATGAAATGCAATTGAACACAGTTAGTTATGTTCAATTTAAGTATTTATAATAAAATATAAGGCGTGTTGCACAGCACGTGCAATACACACAGCTTCCCCATTACTTCTCTCCATGTTAAAGTTTAATGCAGAGCTGTTTCAAAAATAAATTAATAGCCTGTTGCGTTGCCTGGCATTAAAAGTTATCTGTTCTCTTCTATCTTTCTGTCTGTACTCGTGGACTGGTAACTCATTTTCTAAGCATCCACCCGAATTTTTGGGTAAAACACAGAGGTCCTACTAGGCTCAAGAAGCTCCACAAAGGCACTGTGGACAGTATTATCTATGTCTACTTATCAGCTGCCTGTCACCACGCCAGCATCCCAGAGCAGACATTCCTGGTGACGTGAGACCGGGAAGTATTGAAAGCTGGGGGGAAGGGGGGAAGGGAAACAGGACTTGTGAAGTCTTGCAGCAGAAAAAATAAATAAATACCACCTTATCAGGCCCGTATCAGTTTCTCAGTGGGGTCTGTCAAGCAGGAAGTTCAAATTGACACTTTTCTCTTTTAAAGAAAAAAAAAAAAAATCTGGGGGGAGGGAAAGAGGAAGGAGAAGTGCTGGCGCTGCTGGAAAAGCGATAGAGAAACTGGGGCCGCTTCAGCAGGAGGAACGGCTCCTGCTGTCACAAGGTTAAACACCAGGGTGGGGATGTACGTGCCTCATGGGCCAGAGCAAGTCCACCAGTGACAGAAAGGAAGCTTACAGCCAGCATGTAACTTTGGTTGTGCAACAGGCCCGTGTCCCCACTTGACAGACTACACATAATTGTTCTTTCCTTCCCTTCCAAGTTCCCAGTAAAGCCTCCCCTCCCAATATGCACAAGTAGACAGAAGTCGTGACGTTTAAAGATTATTTTTCAAGTCTAACTGTGCCAGCCCTCTTTAGTTTGTAAGCTGTCTTTGGTCCATAAATCCCGTCTTGGCTTTTTCCCTTATTACCTGAGCACAAGGGACACTGGGGAACACCAGAGAGATCAAAATATAAACAAGCGTGTCAGCACCGTGTAGGAAGAGAAGGGGCCAAGGAGAGGTTCTTACATTTTGTACTGAACGTGGATTTAAACCAGGGCTGAAACTGATTGAGCGGTTTACAGCCTTTCCTGTTGGTCTGAAAGGAGCCATGCTTCAAAGTTAAAGAGATGTATTTCTTACGCTGGTTTTTTTTTTCTTTACACTTGTGATTTTAGATTTAAGTTCTTAATGATCACGATGTCTCTCGCTCACTCTTCAAATGCATTTTTCCCTCCCACTCCCATATACATGTATATACACTAAATATAGGCACATACTCTTCCAAGATCTGTCGAGTTTCTGTGGTCACAGAGAAAAGAGGTTCATGACAAAACAAGAACAGTGCAGCTGCATTTCTAAGTTACAGATACGAGGGGAGGGGGAGAAAAAAAGAAAGAAAAAAAACCCCAGACGTGCCTCTTTAGGAGCCTGATCCACTTCTCAGCGAGGTCACCAGATTATTTGCTCAGATCTGAGATTAGTGAGTGCGTGCAAGGGGAAAAGGGACAAAACTCCTGTTACTTTTAAGTATTAATAAAACTTGAGCAGAGGAGCTGCCTGAAGTCACTCCAATGTGGGTGTTCCAGCTACAGACTGCTGCATAGCCGTAGGCTTTGCTCTCATTTCTCTGGGCTCCAAGCTGTAGCCTGAGAAAGACTTCATAAAAACAATGATCTGTTTTCTCTAAAAACTTGAAAAACGGTTGTAGGCAGGCAGTAATTTCAATAGTAATTTCAGGAGTGAGATGGTACTGAACGCTTCGAGTGGTGGAGCTTAATTATGCCGATTCACATTTTCGATCTAAATTAAGCACCTCTTTTGCTAGTAGAAAGAGAACCTCGAAGTTGTGAAGCAGGCAAAACAAAGAGTGTCTCCACTCAAAATGAGAACGGCGACCAACATTTAGAAGTATATAATTTGATCATCTGTTTTCTAAATGTGTCCAAGGCAGAGTGACATGCCTTTGAAAACATTCTGCTCAGAGAAGGTCTTTAAGGGAACCTTCAAATAATCCTCAATATTAAGTCAACTTTAGCCCCCAAATTCTGGTTTTGTGAAGACAACCTTTCATATAATTTCAAAATCATTTTCCTGAGCCCTTTTGAAGATTCCAGGAGGTATTTTTTTTTAAGCAAGTGCAGATGTTTCCTCTCAACCCAAACAGAAAAGCTTCAAAACCAGAAAGTGAAACTATCCCTAAACAAAAGGGAAAGCGAGTGGCAGGGCTTAGCTAAGGGCCAGTGTGGCAGGGCCAGCAGGAAGAAAAAAAGAATATATTACATTAAAGAAACAGCATTAAAAAGTTAATCTTCATAGAATCAGAAACATTTTAAATAGCACCTTGTTAAACCCGTTAATGAAAGAAAAAGATTGCCAGATGTTTTGTAAATACGCAAATTGTCTTCCCCCCAACTCAAGGTTTTTTTTGAAGCTTGACCAAAAGATGTCACCTGCCCGTACTTGACTGAGGAGACAAACACGGACATGAGCAGCAGGAAGTTGCATCATATGACTGCAATACATGAACATTATTATCAAATAGTCACGTCCTGAGTCAATGCAATTGTTTGGGGTTTTTAAATATTTTAAAAAGAAAAAAAAAAAAAGAACTGTCACCCTCTCCACCCTCCATCACAAAATAAGCCTCCTGCGATGAGGCAGGAATGAAAAGCTAAACTATGTGGGATCTACCCTTGAAATATATTTTCTCAGTCTGTTCGATTGTCCAAAAATAAAATATGGCAGACTAAAAGACAATTTGAGTGCCCAGCTGAATGAGGTTAAGCACATTCAACAAATTACCAAACTGATTTTTTTGGCCATCAGAATACAGAAATCCTGTGCCATCGCACTTACAACCATTTACCGGACAATGGCACCATCTGAAAGTGACGCATCTCAAACCTTGACAGAAAACAACATCACTGGCCTCAAAACAGGCAGGGAGGAGAAGGGGATCATTTGACACAAGACTGAGTTTCCACTGCTGGGATAATGCAGAGTCTTGACTCTGCCACTATTGTGCAACTCCTTTGCAGGCACTTCAACATCCACTCCAAGTTACGCAGCTCCACTCAGAGCTAATCATGGCCGTGAAGGGTAGGTGTGTGCTTCAGCGTCTGAAGGACTGGGTCAAAGGCCCCAATTCAGGAAAACACAGAGGACAGGGTTAAACCCATAACTAAGTACGTGCTTAATTGCTGTCTTTAATCTGGATGCTTTCCTTCCGCGGCACAAATGAACTAACGCTGGAGAAGTTACCTTTAATTTGAAAGTTTGCTCTTACAGAGGCAAGTAGATGTTATATATGGATGTGTAAAAATAGTTATTCTCTAAAGTAGTGATTCTCTCATTTTTGAGGCCGCTAATTACAGGAAATAAAGCCAGAGAAATTCTCTGATACGTTTTTCCCCAGAGGCCCATCCTGCTGGGGTGCTTAAAAAGGAACTGAGGTGCTGAACTTCCAAGACTGTGATCCCCAAACCCCTGAGGCACCTAAAGCAGCTGCCTATATTTTAAGTTGGCAAGACTGAGGCTGCACTGGAAGCTCTCCATAGGTGTGTGTCCCAGGTGGCCTCTCCTGTGCCGGGCTGGGCAACCAGCCAAGGTATGGCTATTCCAAAGCCTCCCGCGGGCACCGCACACTCTGCACACCCACGACGCGGTAGAGGGAGGGAGCTGGGCACAACACACCACCACCATGAGTGAGGGAGCCCTGACTGCAGCCTGAGGTGGGACCTGGACCCCAACTTTGCCTCCCTCGTCTTCAGAGGGTGCCAAAACCAGCAGCCAGGAGCTGGGAGACTGCTCTTTTGAGTGCTAAGGCTGAACTACGCAACTGTTGCTTAAGATGCCATCTCTTTAAATCCACTTATTGAGCTTACTTTTACTAAAATGAACCATTCTGCATACATCCAGACACCCCTAGTTTTGCCCTTAGTAAGAGTAACCAGGTGATTAGTTGACACTTTACAAATACGTTCCTCACTGCTTCTGCAAGACAACTAAGATGCCAGCAGATGCAGGAAGCTGAGGTTGTGTATCCTCCTAGCTAGTGGTCAAATGTGTCTGTCTGGATCTTTGCAAACTCCTCACCCGCAGGAACCCTTAACGCTGTTGTCTCTTCCCACCCGCAGGTCCCACTGAAAACCCAACAGTTCATTGTATCAGGAAATACAACTGCACAGCGAGTGGTGAAATGACATACATGCAAAGACAGAATCAGTGAGATACTTTTTTGAACAGGGAATATAGCAGGACAGCACATCCCCCCCTTCCCTCCTCCTTCCCTCTGCCACTAAGAGAAAACAAATTTTCTTCTATACTTTGTAGGGAAAGACCAAAACCTGGTGAAAAGACAACATCCACGGAGGACAGATGTACTTCTGATTAATCTGAATGTGTGACATCATATTCATGATCCAGGGTTACATTTTAGCTCCAATGATCCCCAAAGTAACACTGATATTTTATAACGCAGGATTTGTTGCCAAATAACAGCAAATAGCCCTTTTTATAAGAAAAAATGTTTGCGGGTTTTCCTTCAAATTTCAGTGTAGGTGCTGGCAGAAGGACAAAAGAATGCTCTGCTCTATCTCAGAGGAGCTAGCAGGAGGGGAGGCAGCCTAAGAGTGGAATGAAAGTCAGCAAAAGTCTCTCCCTCTCTTCAAGGGGCTCTGGATGAGGTGCTGGGTGGTGATTAAGCTATGAGTAAAGTGCTGTGGCTGGAAATGGTCAGAAACCACAAAGGAACAGAGAGATAAACTCCTGGAAATACCTCTTCCCCCTGCTACCAGTGCTATTATTTCTGAACAGAAAACGAAAGCTGCGATATACAGCCAAGAAATGGGGACAAAATACACTGAGCTTAAAAAACAAGTAACCAGATGAGAAGACCACAGGAGGTTTGCTCCCGTAAGACAAGTAAGCGTAGATGCAAGGCTCGAAGAACATTCTGCAGTCAACACATAGTTTGTCAGACACCTAGACAGAGTCATGGCATATAGCCACTTCCTCCTAGGGTGAGGGGAGCCCTTTGGGAGCATGACTGGATGGCCTTTAGTGTAGGCTATCAAAGCAGGCTTTTGGGCAACGCACTAAGAGATCTGGACTTGGAAAGTCCAAGAGTGAACCAACATCCACGGTTCTGAAGGCAGAGGGTATTTTCAGGTTGTTTGTCCAGGATTTCATCAGATAAGACTCAGATTGTAAACCAGTAACTGTTCAGATTTTTTATAATCTGTTTACATTTGAATGGGCACAGGGAACTCATTCTGTTGTGTTGGTTTTTTTAATTCCCCTTTTCTACTCCAAGCTACCTACTGTGACACAACAGATGATGCAGCTGTGTAATTATAAAACTTATTATTAGATCATATAGGCAGAAGAGACATTACTGGCATTCCTTGTTTATACTGTAATCCACTTACTGAGGTTCATCATTGTCAGCTCTCTGGAGGAGGGATAGTGCAGCCTGTCCGCAAATTCTCGGCAATACCACACAAGCAGCTCTTGATTGGCAGGGATGGGCTTGATGGTGTAGAAGTAGATGTTCATTCCATTCTGACAAGCAGCCAAGTTCTGTTCCTGAACGGAGTAGCCAGGGTTTACATAACGCATCCAGTTGCTCTTGTCCTCGTTAAATCCATCAATGAAGTGGTGAAGCTCACCACCTGAATAGATCTGGAACAGACAGGAAGTGCCTATGAATATATATATGCACAAAACGCAACACGTGTGCACAGAGTCCAGAGAGGCAAAATGATAAGCTGTTTTTTTTTTTTTTTGTAAACAAGAAGATATTAATGAAATAAGAGTTCAAGCCGAGTCCCCCCTCTTTCCAACTATGATATCCTCTGCGTTAAGAAAAGAGATGCTTATTCAAAGGCAAGTCCACAGTCACCCTTCCGTTTCTGCTTAGCCTCTGTGGCTCTGTTAGTACGGACAAATCAGACCCAAATCTGACAGGCAGAGTACTCTCCCTGCGTGCAGTCTACCTGAGAGTCATGTTCCTGGTGCTATGATCAACAAGTGGGTAATGCTAATGATTGCAGGTCTGAGTGCATGCTTGCATTAATGCTTTGAGTCACCTGTGTATAAGACTGACTGGCTGCGCTACGTCAGAGTCTTTCTCGCCTTTTTCTATGGCCTCTGTACTTGCAGTTTCCTACCACCTCCACCCATAGGTTTAAACTATGCAAACATCCTCCACCCCCCCCTCCCTCCCCGAGTCCTAAAGCAACACTTGCTCATAGTTGGACTGTAGCCCTTTTGTAGAAAGGCTGGGCGAGGCAAAGATGAACTTCACCTGCCATAACTTAACGAAGACCTGGAGAGGGGCCAACCGATGAGAAGTCACTTTTCCTATCGAGGGACACATTCTGGCTTGTCCGCAGAGGGGAAAGAAAACGTGAATCTAAAAACTGTTCAGTGGCTTTGGGGGGAAAGAAGTCCCAATCGCTGAGAGAAGCTGCTGTTTCTTGAAGTGGTAAGAATAGGAGAATTATTTTATATTAAAAAAAAAAAAAAATAATCAAGAAAAATCCAGGAGGCATGTTAGTTAAAGACATATCCCTTACTCTTGGGGGGAACTAGCTCTGTGCTGGATGAGATGGGGTTCCTGGGTTTTGCGAAACAGATGACCTGGAGAAAGCCAGACCTTGAAGCAGGAGCAGCCTGCAGCAGCAGCGCACCTCGCTCAGCAGGAAATGCCCTTCCGAAGGGGAGACAGAGCTTATCTCGGGGGGAAAACACTCCAAGGTGTTTTCTTGCCTTTGCCTTTGCGTTCACACCATTGCCTCTCCTACCTACCTGGCTGGGCAAGCGTGATGCCGACCAGCCAGGACACCTCTCCTCTTCTCACCGAGAGAGCTGCCTGCGGAGAGGGGGCAAGGCAGCCTGGCCCTTTAATGCGGACCGTAAACACCAGAATCACTTTCTTTAAGAGTAACTTCCTGTAAACTGAGAAGGGGGAAATACATGTGGCCTCATCAAAGCAGCTTGCGAGAGATTTTGCGGTGTGTTTGTTATGAGAAAATGGAAGGGGAGCCGGGCGAGTTGTGCTGCATCAAGAGGAGCCTTCGGGTTTCTCTGCTCACCTCGGCTCGCAAACTTCCAGGAACGCGGGGCTCCGGCGCTCGACGCCTGCCGCCGCTTCCCAAACCGCCCCTCCACGGCTCCCACGGCGGGGACACGGATGCTGCCGGTCACCCTGCTCCGCCCGCGCCCCACCGGGCGCCCACCTATTCTGGGGAAGGCCAGACCAGATGTGCTGAGTCACGGCGCGGTTCCCAGAAATGACGTGGGCTCCCCTGGTGCGGGCAGGGCGCGGGCTGCGTCCCCCCGCGCGCAGCAGATGTTCCCGCTCCTGCCGGCGAGCCCAGGATGCCTTCAATAACATGTGGGAAGTTATCTCCCACAATTTCCTTCGCATATGCAAGCCTGTTTCAGACCCCGAGGAAGGAATTCATTTTCGGTGCGGCAGCGTGTCTTGAACGAATCAAGAGATTATAACAGGGAATTTAACGATGCTTAGATGGCTCCTAGGATATTATTTCCGAGAATCCCTCTGCGCGAAGGCTTAAAATCACATCATGAGAATGATGTCATCTTTCTCGCTCCAATATACGAATGAAGTCCTGCAAGATGGCTAGCAGCCCCTCTTCCCGGCGTTTGCCATCTGATCAGCAACTGGCAGGGCCAGGCCCGGCACACAAGTCCCTTCCTACGCCAGAAGCGAGCTCCCGAAAAACCCGGCTGTAAGAAACATTTTGTAGCCTTAACGAACGTGAAAACAGCCGCCTGCTTTGTAAAAACACCCATGCAAATAACTGCCTGTGCAATGCCATATTACGTTGCACAAAGACAATCTGAGAAAACCAAAATGATGCAATTAGGTAGGAAGAAAGGGGTGTGGGGAACGCTGGTGCTTGCCCTGGGTTTCACCTGGATGAGAGGTCGGGATATTGCTAAGGCAGGCAGGCACCTGGGCACAGAGGCTTGGATATACTCCCAAATCCACCGATTTAGACACAACCTAAATGGCTAGAAGGCAGCAAAACAAATCCATGGAAGGAGATGGGGCTGAAGGAATGTTCCCTAACAATTAATAATGGGTCTGTAACGGAGACTGAGGATTATGTCAACTGATAAACTGCAAGCATATTCCCCAGCACAGACTTCCCAAGCCAAAACAAATTGGCTGGTGTTCCCTTCCAGCTTATAAACTACAGAGTACAAATTAGGCATCACCTCTAGTGTTTGTCTGCTGTTAATGGATTTTTCTCTTCGCTAAGGTCTGTGGGCTGCTCTTTTAACACTTTCTGAAGCGGACCAGAAAAGCTTATGATTTGAATGATATACGCTGAACACCACCAACACCACTGTGTTACAGCATTTCTATTCAAAACCCAGGGAAAATGCCACAAAATGTATCATTATTCCAGAATAAAAGATTATGCAGTACTTTCACAGCTTATTCACAGCTGGAAAAATCAAGGATCCGTGGTATTTGCATAAACAAGGATGACTTTCCTTGGTGAAGAAATGCAAAGTAACCTGTCCCTTCAGCAAGCACAACTATATTTACACAATCAAGCTCCAGTCTGTTTCAGAAGACAGAGCTGGGAAGGGCTGTGGATCTCCCCTGCTCTCTCCACCCACACAGTCCCTACATCCAAGACAGCCAGGCTTTTACTTGGTTTAGTTCAGCCCCCTGGCTCTGTTCGTGCCTGGCAGTGCACAGAAGTTGCCCCCTGCATTCACACACAGGTCTGAAGCAGGAAGTGACCCAGCTTCTCAGCTGTACTCATTTAGTGATCTGCTTACTGCAACAACATGGTGCTGTTTTTTCCTGCTTACCCGCCAAAAGTATTTTCTGTTCGCATTCTTGGGAACCGTATCGCTGGTATAGATCTCTCCTACCAGGGGTCCAAAGCGCGTTCCTTTTGGGATGTACTCTTTGCTTATAACTCCAGTGACCTACAAGAAGAGCAGCACAGGATCAGTTCATCGCCTGTAGAAATCAAAAAGTCTTCTTTCCTCTCCCCTGTCCCCCGAATGTAACAAGGTAAAGCAATCAATGCAAGAAATTTTTAGTGACAGGTCAACAAAACAGAAATAAGTTAACAATCGTGTTGGATATGGTAGGACCAGCTTTGTTAGATACTAGCATCTTACCGAGACATATGGAAGCCAAAGATGAACACTGCCTGAAAAATGTGTTTTGTGGAAATATGTTTACAAGAAGAAACAGTAAGCGAAATGTACAGAGACTGTCAGATACCTTCAAAAGTTATTTCTCCTATCAAAGGCAACCTCCAAAAGCCTAGTTTCAGCAAACACAACTATTCAATAGCCATCAATCACTTCACTGCTACAGAGCTCGCTTTTCTAATACGTTAGGAACTGGAATGACTGCTCCTCCAGATCAAAATGAAACATCCTCCCCACCCCCACCCTCTTCGCTCTGTACCCGTCCCGATAGCTAAAAGGAGAACAAAAAAAAAAAAAAAAAAAAAAAACTTCACAGCGTCTCCATAGGGTCAACATTTTGGATTCCCTTCTGCTTTGAATGGAATAATTGGGTTTATTCTGCCCCTTGTCCCGGCCCGAAAAAAAAAAAGAAAAAAAAAAAAAAAAAAAAAAAAGACAACCTACAATTCTCTCACCAGCATACAGTGGCATACAAAACAGAGTATGAAATGGCTTTGGGACATGTACTCACAGATCACCCTCTTTTATAAAAAGGAGGCAGCAGTTCCGGTAACATGTCAAGTGGGTTTGGTCAAAAAGGCGTAAGGGTTTTGATGAAAATGCTCCACTATGCTAGGTCTAAGAAATGTACTCTAGTTGTTCAGCTTCCTTCTTGACAGTAATTATACCAAAAAAAGTCACTGACCACAAATCAGGAAGCAATTCATCATTATTCAGAAGAACGTGCCTTGGAGTAACCCTTTGCAAAACACTGCTGAGTTATTGGTTTTGTCTCTCTCTGTTCCTCACCAATCTTCTTAAATTTAATGTACCCAAACAATGTTAGAAAACCAACAGTTTTGTAAACCAAAACCCCCAAGCCTTTGCAAGATTGATGCTGCTGCTCAGATAGTGGGGAAAAAAAAAAAGGAAGGTGAAAAGCCCATTAGTTTGGTATTATAACCAAGCCTTCATGGCAAAATGTATAAATCGTATCCCCTTCACACATCGCGCCACTTTCAGATCAAGGCAGGAACAGCAGAAGCGGCTGATGAACACCGGGAGCTGGGATTACTGCTGCCTGTACCCCGCGAGGAATCAACCTTTCTACCAAAGCAGGTTAGCACTCATCAGACCCTGCAGATAGCTCGCTCCAGCCAGCATTTCATTGTCTTTGTAACAGTCCTTCGCAGCAAAGGACAGTAAAAACCCTGGACTGTAGACAGCCCTTCACAAATCAGCTAAGCCTCCAGATTTTCTCATGCTACATTTTCTTCCGTTGTAACACCCTTGGTGTGAGAAAGGGAGAAAGACAGAGGGAGAAGTACTTGCCTGTGTATTGGTCAAGATTAAAAATCCCAGTAAACAACTAACGCCTAGCATAATTTCACGTTAAATGTCAAAATAGAGGCGACAAATAGCAGCCATGGAATCGAGGAGGTAATCCACCCGGAAACAGATTGCCGGGTGTACGTGGTGGCTGTTTGTGCTTGTCCGTGTTTCAACATGTGTTTCAGCACACCACAAAAAAATTAAACGTCAACAGTAGAGGTAGTTAAATGCTCCATTGATCTGTGCATCTGGACTGGAGAGAGAGAAAAGGGACTTCCAGAAATTTTCCTACACCTACCACAAGCTGAAACAAGCTCAGTGGCTCAGTTTTATTTTTGTCTTGCTTGTACATTTCTCATAGAGAGCTGAAAAAGGCAGATGTTCTTCTCATCTTCCCCATATATCTTCATTTACATCCATCTGCCCTCTCAAGAAAAGTTCACAACCAAGACACAGCACACCCTACCAGTTTTACTGCATGGTAGCTTGAGTTTTTTCACGGTTTTAAAATATCTTGGCCTTAATTAAAACAGCTTTAATGAAATTCTCAGAATCTCTAGAAATCACTCCTCGAACTAGTCAACTTGAAACACCCACTGAACTGGTGTCTCTGACACAGCAGATACTTTTTGATATCCACCTTACAAGCAGGCTTTGCTTCTCCCCTGGTGCAGCTGAACACGAAGATGATTTCTCACCCTGTACCCACTAGAAGGTTATTTTGGCAGAGGATGTTCTGCACATCCATTCTGCTAAACCAGATTAAAGCCATCCAGACAACTTTTAACCAAAGGTGGCTTTCTGGTCAGCAATTCTTGGCCTCCACTGTGACCCCAACAAGCTCAGCTGCTGTGGTCGATGAGGGGTACCCTCCAGGAGAGGGGTGCCAGCAGTGATGGGACAGGCTGGCTCCAGGCTGCCAGCAGCCCCCCTGCCGCAGCCAAAAGGGGCTCTTGCCCTTCTGCAGCTTAACCGGGGGCGGCTTAACAAGAGGCCACGAAGTACAGCACGGAGCTGCCGAGGGCTTCTAGGCAAAACAGTGAAGAAACTCCACATCCAGAGCCGAGGGGAAGCCGTCTCCCGGCTGCCGAAAAGCTGTGGCAGAGAGGCATTTCAGACTTGTGTCCACCAGGTGTCCTTCGGCACATTGCTGCCTCTCGGCGAAGAGACCTTCCGAAACAGCCTCGTGGCAAGCAACCACAGGGGAGCATGACCTGAGCTCGCTCCCCACAAATAAAAGCCTACTGCCCTTCTGCAGCCTCCTGGGTCCGCACCATGCCGTGTGGGAGCAACGCGCTATTTTCAGAACAATTTCCTCTCTACAGACACTTACCCCCTCTCTCCCTTCAAAGCTCCGAACTTTCAACACTCTTGCGAGCGAGCCGCTACCACATTTTCCCTTTCAGCAAAACAGCATTTCTAGCAGGAAGACGAGGCCAAACGTTAGCCCCAAGCCGTAGGGCCGGTTCCAGCGCTGCGGGCAGCTGCCGGCTCCCGCCGGGGCCCCGGCCGAGCTAACCCGGCTCCCGGCGGGACGGGATGCGCCGAGCGGAGCCGGGCTGGCGAGCGGGGTCCCAGCTCCAACCTGGAGGCGCTGCGGCGGCCGAGCGGGCTGGCGGGGGAGAGCCCGGCCGATGCGGGGGCAGGGGGGGGGAGCCCCGGGAGCCCGGAGCAGCCCCGGGCGGCGGCGGCGGGCCTGGAACTGACCAGGGTCCTAATGCGGCGGCGGGGGCCGGCGGCGGGGACGGAGCCCAGCAGGCCGGGTGGCAGAGCCCGCAGCCCCCGGGGAGAGAGAACACGTGGGCTCCGCTTCCAAAATTCCATATTAAAAGCAAGACCAAGGCTCCTACACCTTCCTTAGCGCTGGAAGTAAACGACGACCCCTGATAATGCTGCAAAGGGAGGGTATTCTGCGACGGGACCACTAAACTGCTCTAAAAAATTAAAAAAAAACCCCCACCACCGAACAAACTCTTACTGGCTTCAGTGAAGTAACACTATTCCCCAGTCGCACAAGGGAAGGCCAGCCCCCAATGACACTGATTTATTATTTTTTTTAACTTCTAGTTTGACAGTTACATGAGCCTGAGTAAATTTCACCCCTTCGTACAGTGGCCAGTTTTCTAAAAGAGATGCCACAAAACAAAACGCTTTCAGATCGCTTCCTGGGTGATCTCATACAAAAGTAATAATAAAATAAAAGCAATAGGGAAGAGCAAGTGTCTGAGGTCAGCGAGGCACACTTTGTTAACAGCTCTAAATCACTGCTTTCATCAAAATCACTGATTGAAGGTCTGTCTCTTAAGAAACAGCCTTATCAGAGAAATTCAGTAAGTTATGGGTTTGCTGAGATATGTTTCCCTCTGTCAAGCTCATGGACCAGGAGGCACTAGTAATAGTAAAGACAGCAGAATAACTGGCACTTTATATCAAGAAAGGCTGTTCTGGCTTTAAGGACTGAGACCAAAGAGGAAAAAATATTGAAAAAAATGTTTTTAAATGTCTGCATAAAAAAGATCATTTACATATGGCCTTCTAAAGCATGATTTTGGCACTGTCTCTCATCGTTTTTTGTCAATTGCTAAAAGTGGAGCAAAGGATAAATAATTCACGCATAGGAATAAATAAATGACTTCATGCAAATCTAGCAGCCTAAAATGTTACGAGCAGTAGTAATTCATTTTTTAAAATGCTGACACATACTGTGAACTCATACTGAAAAATGTGTCCTTCAGAAAAATCCCTGATCAAGATCCAAAAATAAACAAGAGTATGACGTGTCATGGACTCCCTCACAAATTCAATAAACCTTTAAAAAGGAGCTACTCACTTCACAAAGCATGCAAGGAAAAGAAACACGAAAAGCAGCCCTCCCCAAACAACAGTGGTTGTACTTCCTCCCTCCTCAGCAGGCACGCAGTACTTTTCCTACTTCAAGTGGAGATACAATACTAATCATGACAGCACCAGGATTTCATGATCTAATCGTGACAGTATTAGCGTTTCACAAGCGATGTCTTATATATGTTTTTGTCAATAAACTGACTCAGCGTTTCAAACTCTCGACCAGATGAAGCCACAGCTCTCCCCAAAGTTAACAATGAAGACAGCTCACATCTGAAACCCACTGGCAAACACGCACGCATGCATCCCCTGAAATCTTACCTCATCCTTTCGTAAGTGAAAAAAACCCACCCTATTGAGCTGTCAGGACTCCAGTGGTTTTCCATAAGGTCAAAACCAGAATCAAGCTCCCTCGCTGACCCCACCAGTGTGCGAAAGCAACACGAACCCAGTCCTGACCCCAATGAACAAAATCAAACTTGGAAGGCAGACAGAAAAAAATAATATTTCACATCAGAAGTTGCTAGAACACAAGCAGATTATGCCATTTACAACTATTTCACCCTGCAGACAAGTAGCAAACGAGTGACCTGTCCAGACATTCACAGGAGTGTAGATTTCACAGAAGGTGGAGAAAAAAGAGGATCAGATCGGCCCTTTCTTTCAGAGTTACCTTAGAAATAGTCAGGGTTTGGAAGCTCCTATTGCTTCTTATGATAGGTGCTATTCAGCGCAAATAAAAGACCGGGGGGAACTCTGGAGAACAAAAGGAGGATGTCCTATATTCAGACTCCCACTAGCAGGGAGCTGCACGGGTCACATTTTACACGGCAGAACCGGGAATCTTTCAATGACTTCTCTCTCCCCCCACGTCTTACACAGAGGTGGCAGCAATCCTCCTACCCTGATTCACTGACCTGAGCTATAGCGTAAGGAAATTACATCTTGGTGTTTCCAAACACGGCGCTGGGAATTTTGAAAGCTCCTCGGACGTCTCCTGCCGCGGCGGCAGAGAGAGCGAGCAGCCTGAGCAGCCAATCAGTCACCAGCCGGCTGCCGAGGATCTGCCCGAGCTGTCGCGCTGCAAGCTCATCCTTCAACCAAGAAACCCTCCTGTATCACACAGTGGAGTTGCAGCTTTATCTCTCCCCCCACCACCCCCCTCCAAAAGTAAGACCTATCTAACGATGCAATAACACAAAACAAGGTTCGCACTTTTTTTTTCCGGAGTGTGTCCCTTCTCTGCCAAAGTTCTTCAGGGCAGGGCTGGGCAGATGGGAAGAGAAATTATTTTACGGAAGAATTTAGCTTTAACCTCTTACCAAACCTACTAGGCACTGTATTAGGCGCTGCCAAGCAAAATTCCACAGTGCCAATACCCTCCAGCTGGGGGTCCGGCCCTATTTCTCTACGCAGGATTAAACAAGTACCTACTCTGGAAGGAAATATTTGATAGGCACGGATGAGTGTACCTCTTCTTTTCAGCTCTGTGGTCAGTGTGTTTAGCCAAAGTAGAAGCACAGGTAATAGCTGCTATACCACAACTCTCAGCACAAGGAGAAATGAAGGGTTGTCCCTTGGGTTATTACCCCGACGAACATCACACCTAGCTATAATAGCTACTCTATATGAAGGAGTAAACACAAACCCAAATTGCTCATCCGGGCTCATTTCTTTCCAGCCCTTCTGAAACAACAACAAAGAATGTACCCACTCCAGGGACAAGGATAGGACAGACTCGCACGGCTGGCTACCAGGGAAGATACTGCCCCAGATAAACAAAAGTTACTTTAAGCTACGTCCACCCTTCTGTCAAGTTCGCTACGGTTCCACCATCACTTCCTTAACCGATACGCTGGAGTTTGTAAGACCTTAGGAAGTTGAGAATATGGCAAGCTCACGAAAAGAATAAAGCAATTTCATAACCAAAGGGAAAACAAAAAGAAATAATTAAACACATTTCCAGGAATTTGTTTTTTTTTTCCCCTCTACTTTTTTTTAAAGCTATTTATTGGACAACTGAGGCACTTTAATCTCTGAGCCAGAGGCAATGAATGGTCCTGGCAAACAGCAGTCTAGAAATTGGCACAGACAACTACCCCACAGTTTAAATATGCTTATTCAGATGCTGCTCAAATTGTGTGAAAATTTAACTGTTTGCGAATTGGTACAGAACCAGTTTCAGGGACAGGCTGGCTGTGATTTCCAGTGAAAATACTACATGATAGATAACCAGCTCACAGTTTCTTACAAAACTTATTAGGGTCCCATCTTAAAAGCCAGCAGACAGCATTCATTGCTGATGGTGGTGGGGGGTGTGCGTGTCAAAGAATGGAAGCCAGGGTGAGCACACACTTTCCAAAGCGCTGTGATTTGGCTTGTCTGACTCCAACCTTCCCCAGAGCATTGCCGCTTACCTCTTTGCAGTTAGATGCATATTTGAAAGTCAAGTTCCTTGGCAAGGAAGCCTCTGCCTGAGTTAGGGTGCCTCCGTCGGCACTGGGATCCAACGGGTGATCGTTTACAATGTATGTGCACTTTTCTTCAAAATCGGCTTCTGTCCACAGAGTCATGTCAGCATCCTCCATGTCCATTTTCATTGTCCACTCTCTCCCTTTCACCAGATTCTTGAAACTCACAGCGTCCGAGCTACACTGTGTAGCAGCCTGGAAAATAAGAAAACAGCCTTTAATCCTCATTGTCCTTCAGTGTTGTGGTTTCCGTTGAGACAGCGTGACTAATACAGTAGTCTGTGACACTTTAAAAGCGTATGCAGGATAGTTGGTACAGTTGAGTAATAGCCAAAAAGCAGTGTAAACGAAGCTGCTCTGACTGAAGCAAGCACCTTAAAACGCCAGCCTTGGTAATAATGAGGAGGGAACAAAAACAAAGAGGAAAAAATCCCTAGGCTGACAACTGCGTTACCTCTTTCAGACCCTTTCCTTAATGCCTCAGAGAGAAAAAAATATTCCATGCTGAAGAAAACGTGGGGTCATGGCCGCAAGACCACTTAGTCGCCTGTGGAAAAGCTGCCTCAAAAAAGTGTCACAAACAAGGAGAGGAAGAGGAAAGGAGCTGCTGTCTGCGTCTGAATGAAGCTAAAAATGGAAAGTGCATGTTGGAAGAGCGGAACCCAGCCTTGCCTCTTCCAAATGGGGAAGCCTGAACTTTCCCACCGGCTTTCAACACACAAACAACTTTCAAAACAACCTGGCCCCCCCGCCTCCTCCTGACGTCCCCTTATCCTTTGGCATGGAAGGCTGAGAAAGCCGACATCCTGCCAGCATCACTGCAGCAGCAGCAGCCCTGCACAAAGCACTGCAACACACTCCCGGGAGGGTGGAAGGGGTTGCGGGGGGAGAGGGAGGGGGAGAGAAGAAAAGAAGCAGGGGAAATAAATAAAGTAAATAATTTTAAAAAGTTTTTCTATCCTTATTAATTTTGACGGTACCTCCGAGAATTACTATCGCAAAGCCCTGGATGGGAGTCTCGCCGGACAATTCCACCAAGTCCTTCGGCCTCTCTGTCTATTTAGGACACTGTTATCAAACCTATCCCCCCCTAACAGGTCCTAGGTCGGGCTCTTTCCGTAAGGTTCATCAGGGACCAAAATCCCTGCCTACGCCGGTGGCTGGGAATGACGCTTGAGCCCGGTGTAAAATCCCTTCATTTCTTCCTTTTCGGACCAGGCAGCTAGGGTGAGACTTGCACCCCTCCTCCGGGAAGAAGGAGGACGCCGAGACTGGAAGCGCAGGGTGGCCCGAGGCAGAGGTTAAGGGCTGACCGGCTCCGGGCTGAGGGCAGACCCCCCGGGCCCGCCTCTCCCGCCCCGGGGAGGCCCGGCCGGCCCGGCTGAGGCGGGCGGGCGGGCAGCTCTTCACCGAGGGCCGCCGGGGTACAAGCCCCGCGCCCCGTCCCGATTGCGAAGCGAGACGGGCGGTTGCGATGGTTGGTTGCCGGCTCTCGGCGTTAAAAGGGGGGAGAAGGAGGTTAATAGCGAAACTCGGGGCGCCGGTGACAGTTGCGCGGCGGAGCGAAAGGGTTAACGCTGATCAGCGGAGCGCTCCCGGCCCCGGGAGAGACGACGAGGAGGAAACTTTCCCTCCGTCCTGCGGGCGCCGGCGAGAAGAAGGAGCCGGGGCGGCGGAGGAGGCGGGGAGGGGGGGAGTGAAGGGAAGGGGTGGGTGTGAGGGGATGGGATGGGGGGGAAGGCATCGCGCTCCTTTCCTTACCGGGGCAACGTCCGCGCGCCTCTCCACAGCGAAGCCCACCGTCGGCGGCAGCCCTGGCTCATCTCTACAGAGTAAACATTCCTCCTTCCTTCCAGCGGCCGGCTCCCCGGGAGACTGACTCACACCTCCCGCTCCTCCCCCCCCCCC